TTAAAAAAAACCATTCACCATGATGAAATGTGACTTATTCCCAGGATACAAGGGTGGTTCAATATTGAAGTATCAATCAACGTGATACCTCACATCAATAACAGAAATAATAAGAACTATATGATCATTTCAATAGATGCAGAAAAAGCATTTGACAAAGTACAATATTCATTCATGATCAAAGCCCTCAACAAAGTAGGTTTAGAGAGAACATACCTCAACATAATAAAGGCCATGTATGAAAAACTCACAGTGAACATCATACTCAATGGGGCAAACCTGAGAGCTTTCCCCTAAAGGTCAGGAGCAAGACACAGATGTCTACTCTCACCACTTTTATTCAACATAGTACTGGAAATCCAGGCCACACTAATGAGACAACAACAAAATAAATAAATGAAAAGGATCCAAATCTAGAAGGAAGAAGTAAAACTTTCACTATTTGTAGATGACATGGTACTACATACAGAAACTGGAAAGACTCCATCAAAAAAACTACTAGAACTGATAGATCAATTCAGTAAAGTCACAGGATACAAAATCAATGTACAGAACTCTGTTGCATTTCTATACACTAATATCAAAACAGCAGAAAGAGAAATCAAGGAATTGATCCTGTTTACAGTTGTACCAAAAATAAGATACCCAGGGATAAACCTAACCAAAGAGGTGAAAGACCTGTATTCTGAAAACTATAAAACATGGATGAAAGAAATTGAAGATGACACAAAGAAATGGAAAGACATTCCATGCTCACGGATTGGGAGAATAAATATTTTTTAAATGTCTATACTATCCAAAGGAATCTACACATTTAATGCAATCCCTATCAAAATTCCAACATTTTCCACAGAACTAGAACAAAATATCCTAAAATTTATATGGAACCACAAAAGACTCCAAATAGCCAAAGCAATTTTGAAAAAGAAGAACAAAACTGGAGGTATCACAATTTGAGACTTCAAATTATATTACAAAGCTGTAGAAATCAAAACAGTATGGTACTAGCACAAAAATAGACATATAGATCAATGTAACACAACAGAAAACCCAGAAATAAACCCATGATTATATGGTCAATTAATCTTTGACAAGGCAGGCAAGAATATGCAGTGGGAAAAAGTCTCTTCAACAAATGGTTCTGGGAAAACTGGACAACTACATGCAAAAGAATGAAACTGGACCACAGTTCATACACAAAATAAAGTAAAAAATGGATTAAGGGCCTAAAATGTGAGACCTGAAACCATAAAAATCCCAGAAGAGAGCACAGGCAGTAATGTCTCTGACATCAGCCATAGCAACATTTTTCTAGGTATGTCTCCTGAGGCAAGGGAAACAGAAGGAAAAATTAACTATTGGGAACTATATCAAAATAAAAAGCATCTGCACAGCAAAGGGAATGATCAACAAAACTAAAAAGCAAACTACTGAATGAGAGAAGATATTTTCAAATTACATATCTGATAAAGGGTTAGTTTCCAAAATATATAAGGAACCTATACAACTCAAAACAAAACAAAAAATCCAAATTATCCAATTTAAAAATGGGCCAAAGACATGAACAGACATTTCTCCAAAGAAGACATACAGATGGCCAACAGACGCATGAAAAGATGCTCAGCATTACTAATCAGCAGGAAAGTGAAAATCAACACCACAATGATATATCACTTCACGCCTTTCAGAATGGCTAAAATCACTAAAGAAACAAGAAAGAGACAAAAATCACTAAAGAGACAAGAAACAACAAGCGTTGGCGAGTATGTGGAGAAAAAAGAACCCTCTTTCACTGTTGGTAGCAATGCAAAACTGGTGCTGCCATTGTGGAAAACAATATGGAGATGCCTCAAAATGTTAAGGAACCTACCCCTTAGTTCCCAGCAACTGCACTACTGGGTATGTACCCGCAAAATACAAAAACACTAATTCAAAGGGATACATGCACCACTACGTTTATTGTAGCATTATTTGCAATAGCCAAATTACAGAAGCAGCCCAAGTGTCCATCGACAGATGAATGGGTAAGAAGAGGTATATATACACATACATATATACACACACATACACACATATACAATGCAGTATTATTCAGTCATAAAAATGAATGAAATCTTGACATTTACAAGGACATGGATGGAGCTAGAGAGTATAATGTTAAGTGAAGTAAGTCAGAGAAAGAGAAATACCATATGATTTTACTCATATGTGGAATTTAGAAACAAAGCAAACAAGCAAAGGGGAAAAAAGGAGAGAGAGAGAGAGAAACCAAGAAACAGACTCTTAAACTATAGAGAACAAACTGATGGTTACCAGAGGGGAGTTGGGTGGGGGGTGATGGGTGCAACAGGTGATAGGGTTTAAGGATGAGCACAGGTTGATATATGGAATTGTTGATTCACTATATTGTATACCTGAAACTAATATAACACTGTATGTTAACTAAATTGGAATTAAAAGTTTTAAAATCAGAACAAAAAATAATCAAACCGAATCAGGGCTTTTCTAGGGGATTCTAGAAGTTTAAAAAATATTACACAGGTAATGAAATAGACCTTTTTATTCCAGAAATGGCAGATGGATAATCAATATGAAAATGAAAGGACGTATATTCAATAAGGCACTATAGGGGAACAAACAGAGGAGGAAGATATGGCTCCTGTCTGCAAGGAATTTGCATTGTAATCAGATTGTGACTGTATTGTAACAATTCATATATATTTTTCACTTAGGATTTATGAAACAGAAAGTTGTCATTCTTTTCTAAAATAAATTCTCGTTCTTCACCAGTTCTTTTACACTAAGGGAAAAAAACAAAAACCCTGGGTTCAGATTTCTCTAGGGATGGGAGTACTGAGCTATATGAAAAAAGAAAATGAAAAAGAGGATAGTTTGAGTTTGCCTCTATCTTTCAGCCCAAGACAAAGACTTGTCAAGTTTTGTATTATTGGTAATTGGTGCCAGACGATTCTTTCTTGTGGGTGCCTGTCCTAGGAATTTTAGGATGTTTAGCTGCATGCCTGGCCTCTACCCACTAGATGTCAGTAGCACCTAACTCTAGTTGCGACAACCAAAAATATCTGCAGACATTACCAAATGTCCCCTGGGAGCAGAATTGCTCCCTTCATTGAGAATCGCTATTCTAGTAACTGCCTGAAGAGCTTTGTCTATACTGCTGGGGCTCTTTTTCCAAAAGTAACAAGGCTAAGATCTTGAATTTCTAGCTTTGGGGCAGCTAGCTCAGAAAGAGATGCCTTCTCTTTAAGAGTAAACAGTGGTAGGGGCGCCTGGGTGGCTCAGTCGGTTAGGCATCCGACTTCGACTGCGGCTCAGGTCATGATCTCACGGTCTGTGACTTTGAGCCCCACATCGGGCTCTGTGCTGACAGCTCAGAGCCTGGAGCCTGTTTCGGATTCTGTGTCTCCCTCTCTCTCTGCCCCTCCCCTGTTCATGCTCTGTCTCTCTCTGTCTCAAAAATAAATAAACATTAAAAAGAAAGTTTTTAAAGAGTAAACAGTGGTAAGTTTCTGTTTGGCTTTGTTTTATTTTATGAAAAGTGGCGTGTCAAGGGACCCCATCATACACACAGGAGATCGACTAAGTCACAGCTACCTCATCACTTTCTCAAATCCTTAGACTCTTTCTTAGAGGTGGAGTGAGGTACAGAGCATTGTTGGTAATGATTTATCTCAACTCATATTTCTTCTGGTTGTCCTGCTGCTCTTGGTTCTTCTGTGTCTGTGGTGCTACTAAAGGGCAGAGAACTGGAGCACCCCGTATCATGCACATGGGTTCTATCACATCATGCATGGATGTCTCAGCAGCTGCTCTGTCTATGTTACAGGAAGTCTGCTGAGATTTATCAGAAATTTAGCACAAAGACCTGTTGCTTGGCTCTTTGTAGAAAAATCATCGTCAGTGCTATATTGTGTCTGTGGGGAACAAACTAACTGTGCATGGACACTTTAATATATAATGTCCATAGCTATGCATGTGACAGAACTCGAGGGACCTTAGCAGTACTAATATTCCACCCGGGTTTTGTAGGATGGTTGCCTAATCCTCACAGTTTGCTTATATAGGAGGTAAACTCAGCATACACACTTATATAGGACCATATAATCCCACCAAAGGGATTCATCTCTCTGCTTCTCTTCCCTCTGACACACTTCTCTGCTGTGATTCAAGAAGTGTTCAAGTCTGTCCTTAAAGATGTAGGTGTCTCTGTGTCCCCTGTTTTTGTTTTTTCTTCTCCTTGGTATAATATGGCCCCCAAACCCTGAACATCTTACTCATATGTCTCAAATTTAGAAGAAAGTACTCTTCTTTTCCCCAGATTCTTTGGCATTTGTGTTAGTTTTTCTAAAACCCAAGACTGTCTCCCCCATCTCAGTTGGAAGACTGTAATATTGCATTGTGTAAATAATCCAGAGATCTTCAAAACTGCAAGTTAAGTTACAGGTGCATGCCACACAAGTGTTTATTTCAACCAGCCAAGCGATCAAAAACTTACAGTGCTTGGTTCAACATTTGCTTTCCAAAAATTCTTCCTCTTCTTCCCACATTTCCTTTGTTGGAAATAATTCATTATTGGAAATTTCATTGATTTGTATTTGTATGTAAACTTGGTTTGGTAAGTGGGGCTCAGAAAATTATCAATAAAGAAAAACAGCTCATTTGAAGGTACCCTCCTTCTACACAGTGCTAATCTGCACGCATCTTACTGTTACCACAAGAGCGGGTAGCACTTGGTTCGGGTGAAATCAGAGGGTGGACTGAGCCGCTTGTGTCTGACAAAGCAGCAGACGTCTGTGCCCGTGCAAGGTGCTCTGAGCTGCCTTTGTCCTCTGCCTTAATCAGTCCGTTTAGCCCCCAGGTGGCTAATTCCTAAGATGTAGACTCCATGGGCCTTGACACACTCCCCACAACTAGAATTGCCTCGTGTGTGATCCCACATAGCAGACGTCTTGATGATAGCCCCGCTGTGCTTTTTCTCCTAGTGCACCCGCTCTGGGAGAGCGTGGACCTGGTCCCGGCGGGCGAGCGCCAGTCGCCCATCAACATCCGGTGGAGGGACAGTGTCTATGATCCTGGCTTAAAGCCGCTCACCATCTCTTACGACCCGACCACCTGCCTCCACGTCTGGAATAACGGGTACTCCTTCCTCGTGGAATTTGAAGATTCTACAGATAAATCAGGTGAGGGTCAGACTGGTGGTCTTGTGTGGAGTTAAAGGGACAGTTCGATGTGAGCACAGGCCACACCACACTGCCTCCTTGGGACCATGGACCTCTATGAGCGGTGGCCTGGGACTCCTTGCACTCAGCTTTTTCAATGTATGAAAAAAATCCCTTCGAGTTTTTATGAACATTTTCTTCTACTAGTATAGGTAGTACTTTTATTAATAAGTATGTGTATCTGTATGTATAGATAGAAGATAGGTTGTGAAATTAAAGCTTTGCCTGAAATTTATTTTGTGTATATTGAATACATACTGATTTTCTCTGCTTCCTGACTTTACAAGACACTTTTACATTTAATAGTAATACTATTTAATCAGATTTAACTGATCAGATTGCAGTACCTTTGAAATGGGGCAAAAAAGCATATTCATGTGTGCATGAGGTTATAATCTTAACAACCAGTTCTATATTATAAAATGAAAACTCATATTCTGTTAATTTTGTTGATTTAGAAGAAACACAATTTAAAGGAGATTTTCAAAACCAGATATTATATTGCTTTTGAATCTTCTCTGGTTTTGAACCTACCCAGATATAAACTAATCTGAATGATTTCAAAGTTTACTTAAAACTTTTAGTATCTATTGAACACAGAATGTGATTAATTCTACGTAGGTTTCTTTTCTCTTTTTCTTTTCCTTTTCAAATCAGATTTGATGGTACCAAATAGTCTTCATCTGAAATAATTATTATTTGAAATAGTCTCTCTTTGTGGTTATCAACCAGTGGCAATTTTACCACCCCTTCCTCCCCAGGGGCTGGGGACACTTGGCAACATGCGTAGGCATTTTAAGTTGTCACACTTGGGAGGGTGGGGTGCACCTGTTGTCTTGTGGGTCAAGGCCAGGAAAACAGCTGAAGAGCCTACAGTATGCAGGACAACATTTGCAAAGAGTTATTCAGCCCCTAATATCAATAGAGCCAAGATTGAGAAACCCTTTAGGAAATTAGTTTTCTCTTATGAATATGAGGAAATGAGCCCATGAATGTGTTAATGAATCAAGTACAAAATGTAACCCAAAGCATAAATGGAAGTGTTTAGTCCTGTATCTATCCTCACTCTAGAATTCCCAACTGTATCTTGGTTCTCTATGCATTTTCCTAGGGTTGCTCTGAAACTTAGACATGGCTTTCTGGCCCAACAGCAAACAGACTGCTCCTCCAATGGGAATTCTCTCTCTCTGGCTCTCTTCCTTTTGATGTACTTCTCTGCTGTGATCCACCAAGTGCTCAGGCCTGTCTTTAAGAGCTTAGGTGTTTCTATGTTCCCCATTTTTTTCCTTTCTCCTCTGTGGTATGACGTGGCCCCCCAAACCTGAACATCTTGCTTACATTTCTCAAACTGAGAAGAAATTACTCATTTTCCTCCCAGATTCATTAGTATCTTTCCTAATTTTTCCAAAACCCTATAGTGTGCTCCTGTCTCAACCAGAAGCTATATTACTGGAATGCTGTAGTGTTACATTGTATATAAGGATTCCAGAAATCTTCAAAACAGCAACCTAAATTCCTATATTCCAGATAGCTATCTTGCATGACAATGAGCTTTACTTGTCTCAGGAGTTCTAGCATTACTCCTGCCGACTACACCAATGGGCAGACCCAGTCTGTAAATACCAACTCTCCTACATACACTCTGGACGCACAGCAACCCTCTCAAGTCTCACTTTTGTCTAGGTCCTTGGCAACCTTCTTTCTTTTCTTCTGAGGATCCTAAATGTTGGTCAGCTTTCTAATGACCTTGACGGTCTAGAGACTGTTTCCAATATAGGTTTCCTTCACTGAGTTGGAAATTGTGGGAAGTTGTTAAATAGGTTTCTAACCAAGTGAGTTAATCTCAAGATCATTCGAGGCAAATAGCTTTCTGTTTCATTTTTTAGTCATTTTTCCCCCTTTTTAACAATAGATTCACGAATTCTTATCCACCCACTTGCTAGGGCAATCTCGGATGGAATACAAATGACCTGCATTTTCCTCATAATAACTCCTTAGGTACCTCCAAGCACAACTCACTAAATTGGTTATTCCTCGATGTTACCTTCCCTAGGTGTGTCAGTGTCGCACTATTTTTATAAAATATCCAGAAAAAATGTAGAGAGGTTGCTAATTTTCCACTTATTTTGTTAGGAAGGACCAAAATAGGTAACCCTTTTTTAAATTATGCTTTAATAATCATTCTCTTTAAAATACCATTAATCTTTGATAAGTATCTAACTTTCTCTATCTCTCTCTTTTTCCACATTTCAGTGACTGCCTCCTATTTCCTGCTTATTCTTCATTGCTATTTCTCCATGCTGTTGCAAAATAATTAATAGCATTCAAAGAGGAGGAAAGAGTGAATGAACATAAAAAATAAAGAAAAAGTAAAAGACAGCAAAGACTTCCTAGAAATGAAGAAAGGCAAGAACCAATTCTAATTGTAGAAAGGAAAGGAGCTAATAAATATCAATGCCTATAAATTAAAAAAAACAAACAACTAGGAAATGCTGCTACAGTGTGCTTTGCAAAGAACTCGGGATAAGGTGTGCAAAGAAAGGGTTTGAGGAAGGTATGTGACAAAAAGAAACCATACCAAACCTTATGGGATGTAGCAAAAGTAGTGCTTAGAGGGAAATTAGAGATGAAAATGCCTTTATTGGAGAAGAAGAAATTTCTCAAATCAATAATCTAGCTTCCCACCTTAAGGAGCTAGAAGGAGAAGAGCAAACTAAACCCAAAACAAACACAAAGAACAGAGCAGAAACCAATGAAGTCAAAAGTTGGTTCTCCAGAAAGATCAACAAAACTGATAAACCTTTAGCTAGGTGGAGTGAGAAAACAAATAAGAGAAGACTCAAATTACTGAAATCAGGAATGAAAGAGGGACATCACCACCAACCTTACAGAAATTAAAAGGATAATAAGAGAAGGTATGTGAGCATCTCATAGCACTGCCCTTTGCTGGGTACTGTTTTGTTGTTTGGCTCCCCTGAATAGGACACAGTGCATGTGAGGGATGCAAAATGCCGTGGGGAATGGCACTAAATTATGCCTGAGCTGAGGTCCATGGATGATCTCTAATTTCACCTCCTGTGAAAGTACTCTCATCAGCTTGGTCACTAGGCCTCAAAGAGAGGAAGAGATGGGTCCTGTTGCTCCCCAAAGGGTGCTTCCTGCCCCATCTTGTGTCACTTTACACTTTTCTGGGGTATCACCGGTAAACCCAGGAAGAATGTTTCCCAGACATTTGAAGAGTTCTCCTTCCTAATTTTGGTCTTACATTTGCTTTTTGGGAGAAAACAATGTAATGATTTGTAGCAAACCTACAGAGTGTTGTATCCGTTAGGACCATCCAATTTGAGAACATTTCCATCACCCCACTTATTCCATATATCTTATGACCACTCTGCTTTCTAATTTACAATCTTCTGTTTCCCTTCTGCCTGTTTCTTGCTGACTGTACTTCCCCCTGTCATCCACACATCTGCCCCACCCGACCCCACCTTTTTCTTCGCTCTTGCTGAAGTTACCAGTGATGTTTCAATTAACAAACCCAACAGATACTTTGCAGTCTATTTCTTTAGTTCCTGGTTTCATTGAGAATCTTCTAAGTGCCACACACTGTGCCAGGTGCTCAGAATGGAAAGAGGAAGAAAGGATGGTCGCCACCTTTAAGGAGCTAATACTGTGGTGGGGAGACAGACCCATGAACAGACAGCGCTAATGCAGAGTGCCAAGCGCTGCGAGGGAAGTGTTCAGGTGGGGTCCGGTGGGAGAAGGCTTCCTGGAGGGGGTGACACCTGTGCTGTCTGCATGGAGGGGGAGGTTCAAGGCAGTGCAATGCTTGTGTTTGGTACTACTGTGTGTAAGTGCAAGAAGGAAATGGCAGCCAAGTGAGGCCTGAGGTAGGCAGGAGCTAATACACAGCCAGTTCTGCAGACCTTGCCCAGAGAGGGGTAATGTGGGTGCAGCTTACCTGCGTACTCTTGCTCTGGGTCTCGAGCTGGGCTGTGATGGAGGTGTCAGCTGTGGTTGGGGTTTCATCTCAAGACTCCTCTGGCGAAGGATCCTCATCCAAATTCACTCACGTGGCTGTTGGCAGAATTCGGTTTCTCTCAGGGTCTTGGTTTCTTTGCTGGCTGTTGGCAAGAGGCCACTCCCTTTTCCTTGCCCAGTGGGCCTCTCCGTAGGGCAGCTCACAACATGGCAGCCGGCTTCGTCAGAGAGAGCAAGCAAGATGACAACCAGCATCTTTTTGTAACCTAATCTCAAAACTCATATCGCATGACTTTTACCCTTAGAAGCAAGTCACAAGGTCCAGCTCACACTCAGGGGAGGGCATTACACAAGGGTGTGAATACCAAGAGATAGGGTTCATTGGGAGTCTTCTTAGAAACTGCCAGGATACATGGCCAATGGCACAAAGCCAATGAATTCAAACTGAGGTCCCTTTCCTGTAAAGTGCATGCCCTTAGCCCCATTATATAGGAGAATACCTCCCTGTCTCACTTCTCCCCTATGTACAATTTATGTGGATCCAGTGCATGTAGAGACTTCATGATTTTTCCAGTTAGAAGTGCCCAAATCAGATGCCTGGGCATCTCACTTCTCTCCCAGGGATCACAAATGGAGAGGTGCCTATAGTGCCATAGAAGTAATGAGCATGAGCCAGGCTGGGAGAATCTGAGACAAATGGCAGTGATGGCGACTGAGAAACTGGCAGGACCATTGAAAGGTGGTGGCCGTTTCTCCCATCTAGCCTGTTGTTGCCTGGTGGGAGCATGTACCCCACATTCTCATTCTCCATGTGCCTCCATGTGCCCTCTCATTCTCCAGTTAGAAATGTAGACTTTTATGGGAAATTGTCTAGCTTTAAATGTTGGCAATGAACTTTAAGATGTATTTAGTATTGTGTGGGTGAATCAAAACACACCTGAAGACCAGTTCTGCCCCCTTCCCCCTGCAGCCACCCACTGGTGACAGCTCCTCTCTGCCTTGCTCATTATCTTTGAAGGAGACACACAGTAAGTTTCCAGAATATGTTGCCAGTGTTTTTCTGGAGATAGGAGAGAAAAGCTAGCCTTCCCCTCTGCCTTGGTCACTTAACATGGGACGAGAACTTCAATTTCATTCAACAGATTAGATTGGATTTTGCCAAAGTCAAGCTCCCAATATGGAGCTGGCATAGAAAAGCAAGGTTTTGGAAAATATTTTATTTTTATTTCAGTATGCTTTAGTACCATCCTCCTGTTATTTTAGTGAATCAGGTGGTATTAGTCTCTGTACCTCCCCTGCCCCTTAAAGAAAAGTGGTCATTGGTGTCTTTGCTTACCTCTTTCAAAACATTTTTTTTAGAGGAAGAAATTATGTAAAGTATTTTCAAAAGGCAATAAGATACATAGCAGACCACTGCATGACATATCCAATGTATTTAGTCCTGGGATTGTTGTAATTGCACATAAAATTCAACTAATTATGCAGTAAACTCTAAAGATCACTAAGGTAGTTGAGATAGATGGGTTTTATGCTCTTATATTGGTTTAACCATGAACAGACATCTCCAGGGTTGGATTAGATGGAAGAAATGAGGAACTAATTAATATGTGTTAGCAAACTCAAGAAAAAAAATCAGTACAACCCAAAGTCTGAGGAAAGATGATTTTAAAATCTTGTTTTATCTGGATATTTTGCATTTCAAGTATTATTTCACTAGTTCAGAAAACACTAGCCAAACAAAAGGTATTTATTATCCAACATGGTAACGACAGTGGTACAGTGTGGATGACTCACATCGTTCACTCTGTCCAAAGGGACATGGGTGATAAGTTTTCACTTGCAAATTTCCTATTTTATTTCAATGGAAGGGGAAAAAAAACAGTAGTATCTTCCAAAATTGAAATGCAAGAGGCACCTGGCTGGCACATGATGGCACATGGTACAGCACATGACTCTTGATCTCAGGGTCATGAGTTTGGGTCCCACATTGGGTGTAGAGTTTACTTTAAAAAAAGTATCAGTGCATAAAAAAGAAAGAATATCTTTTGTCCCCATACTTCAGTTTTATGAGATTGGGTTGGATAAATATGCTAAGAGAAATTTGCATTTTACTGCACATTTAAAAAGTAGGCGCAGTAACTCAAGGTCAAGAGCATGTTCTAGGAGGAGGCGAACGCCCTCATCTTCTAGGCACAGGCAGTCAGGAAGCAGATCGAGAAGGAGATCATATTCTAAGTCAAGGAGTAGGGGATGATCCAAACGTCCAAGACAGAGAAGATCTCATTTCAGAGAGAGAGGTAGAAGGTCAAGGAGTACATCAAAAACCAGGGCAAAAAGAAAGAAGACAAAGAAAAGGAGTGTTCCAAAACACCACCAAAAAGTTATAGCACAGCCATAGATTCCAGAAATGCAAGCAGAGACAGACAACCCCAATGAAGTAGGCTTGGCACAAGATCTCCTACAAAGCCTAGGTCACCTAAGAGAAAAATGTCTAGTTATATCCCCCTAGGAGATATAAAAAGGAGAAGAAAGGTAAAGAAAGAAGCAGAGATGAAAGAGAATGACCAACAAGCAAGAAGAAGAAAAGTAAAGATAAGGAAAAGAATCAGAAAACGAAATCAGAGAGTGATAAAGATGTAAAATTAATAATGAAGAGGAACAAGGGAATGACAGTAAGAAAGAGAAAAAAGAGAAGAAACCAACAGAACCAAGTTCCCCTAAAACAAAAGGATGTTTTGTGGAAAAGGGAACTGGTGATTCACTAAAAGAATCCAAAGTGAATGGGAATGATCATCATGGAGAAGACATGTTTATGAGTGACTGAATATTGCCACCATGGGAATCCAGCTGCATACATGCACGAGTGTCATTCCTTTGTGTGATTTCTTAATGCTGTTTTTGTTCCTACCAAACCTAGATGTTTACAGTTCTGAGTTATAAATGGATACAAAGCTTCTAATATTGATACTAGTTGTTTACATCCAAAACCATTTAGAAAATGATACAGGAGTAACCAATTCTTTAAAAAAATTTTTTTTCAATGTTTATTTATTTTTGTTTTGTTTTGTTTTTTAATTTTTTTTTTCAACGTTTATTTATTTGGGACAGAGAGAGTCAGAGCATGAACGGGGGAGGGGCAAAGAGAGAGAGAGAGACACAGAATCGGAAACAGGCTCCAGGCTCCGAGCCATCAGCCCAGAGCATGACGCGGGGCTCGAACTCCCGGACCGCGAGATCGTGACCTGGCTGAAGTCGGACGCTTAACCGACTGCGCCACCCAGGCGCCCCAATGTTTATTTATTTTTGACAGAGAGAGAGAGAGAGAGAGAGAGAGAGAGAGAGCGAGCATGAGTGGGGGAGGGGCAGAGAGAGAAGGAGACACAGAATCCAAAGCAGGCTCCAGGCTCTGAGCTGTCAACACAGAGCCCAACATGGGGCTCGAACTCACAGACTGCGAGATCATAACCTGAGCCGAAGTCGGACGCTCAACTGACTGAGCCACCCAGGCACCCCCGGGAGTAACCAATCTTGACATGGTGAAATCTGTCAAGCAGTTTTAAAAGTATTCTGGTGCTGCTTTAAAACAAAAACGAAAAGCTGCATACATCACAGCACCCATGGATAGTTTATGTTATATGATCTCCTTTATTAAGTAAGTTCACTTATAGTATTCCTTGCTATAATGCAGCTATGTAGGGAATGCACTGATTGATTGCATGTTAATTGTGGCAGGAATATCCTAAATGTCATTAAAACCCTCCAACATGATGGATCTACTTATGGTCTTATCTGTTGACATGACAAATTAACATTCTTTTTAAAAAATTTTTTGTTAATGTTTATTTATTTTTGAGAGAGAGTCACAGCATGAGCAGGGAAGGGGCCTGAAGCAGGCTCCAGGCTCCAAACTGTCAGCACAGAGCCTGACACGGGGCTTGAACTCATGAACTGTGAGATCATGACCTGAGCTGAACTCAGACACTCGTCTGACTGAGCCACCCAGGCGCCCCAACATTCTTATTATTACATCTGAAAATGAAAATTTGACATAAATCACCCTTTAAGGCTTTTAGCTAAATTTTTGTGGCTTTTGTTTAACTTTGAAAGGTTCTATCTGCACTAACCTTTTTTGATGACTGACTAGGCTTTAATTACAGAAACAAGATTTGAAATGAAATTGTCTTTGGTAGTGAGCAAATAACGTATTTTGAAGTAGAGTTGTATACTTTTTTCATAAGGTGTTTGGGATTTTTTTTCCCTGAAATAATTTATTCCACATCTACATCAGTGAAGGCTTCTGCCTATCCTGAGCCCATCTGTTAAAGAAAGTTATCTCTTGTCCTGGTTTTCAATTTTCCACTCTTTTATTAGTTTGTTTTAATCTCAGTGTTGGGAAAAGGGGGTAGGGCATTTTAAATTGACGTTCATATACTTTAAAATAAGACAAATCTACTTTTATATATATATATATTTTTTCAATGTTTATTTATTTTTGGGACAGAGAGAGACAGAGCATGAACGGGGGAGGGGCAGAGAGAGAGGGAGACACAGAATCGGAAACAGGCTCCAGGCTCCGAGCCATCAGCCCAGAGCCCGACGCGGGGCTCGAACTCACGGACCGCGAGATCGTGACCTGGCTGAAGTCGGACGCTTAACCGACTGCGCCACCCAGGCGCCCCAATCTACTTTTAATGTTTATTTATTTTTGAGACAGAGACAGAGTGTGAGTGGGGGAGGAGCAGAGAGAGAGGGAGACACAGAATCTGAAGCAGGCTCCAGGCTCTGAGCTGTCAGCACGGAGCCTGACGCAGGGCTCGAACTCACAAACCTGATCATCACCTGAGCTGAAGTCAGATGCTTACTGACTGAGCTACCCAGGTGCCCCAAGACAAATCTACTTTTAAATAAATGTTTATTATTTTGAGAGAGAAGTGTGCATGCACATGAGCAGGGGAGGGGCAAAGAGAAAGGGAGAGAGAGGATCACAAGCAGGCTCCACACTGTCAGCACAGAGCCTGATGCAGAGCTCAATCCCAAGAAAGCCTGTGATCATGACCTGAGCCCAAGTGAAGAGTCAGACGCTTAACCGACTGAACCACCCAGGAGTCCCAAGACAAGTCTACTTGATAATGTACTTTTTATGTGACGTCCAGTATAAAACCTATCAATTTGTGTTACTGGTAATGCAGTAGTAATCTTATGCGCACAGTGATTCCAGGTTAAATGCAAAGTAGTTAGGCAACGGTTTTCTTAGTTACAGGAGTTTCAAGGTTCACTTTTGTGCAGAAAAAACTAAAGTAGGCTATAGTCTGTGTCATGTTGATATACAGTTTCTGAAATTGTTTTATAAGACTTTGTTAATAAAACCCTTATTTCATGTTCCTGTAAAAAAAGAAGTGGGCACAGTAAATATAGAATATAAAAATAAGTCAAGAATTGGCCTTTAATGGTTGTACAGAGCTTGGAGTGTGTTAATTCTCAGTGTCTTTCAGAGTGCAAGTCTTGCCCTTATACCTGTACTGACTGCGTGGAAATCAAGTTTATATACACGCGTATCTAATACAGTGTGCCCCATTTAAGACAGTTCACATAGAAGGTCCCCCCAAAGAGTCGGCCTTTCCCCTGCATTCCTCCATGGTATGAAAAACTGTCCCCTGAATTGTTGGATGTGCCATTTCAGTGATCGAGGGAGGACCCCTGGAACACAACTACCGACTGAAGCAATTCCATTTTCACTGGGGGGCCATTGATGCTTGGGGCTCCGAGCACACTGTGGACAGCAAATGTTACCCGGCAGAGGTATGTTGAGCAGCTTGGGAACAGCGACAGCCGTGAAGTGGGGATAATGCTGAATTTCTAAGAAATTATCATGGAAAATCCAATGATTCCTATAAATGCTAAATAGCTCTCTCAGGCATATTTGATTATTTCCAGTTTATACATGTAAAAATGATACGTGCCCTCATCTCACATAATCGAGCAGAAATGAAACTCAAGATCCTAAAATGGAGTCCTTCCAGAATTCCAAGCTAGGCTCAAATTATAGCCTGAAGTTATAAGCCAGGCAACAATGCAGGGCCACCAGATTAAATTAATCCAAGTGAGAATTGGGAGGAGCCTAAATAAAGCCTGCGACAATAGAAACAGAAAAAGAGCAAGATTTAACAAGCATTTCTGAAATAAAAGCAACAGGACTTGGAGGCATGGTCCACTTCAGGAGAGGAGAGGAGCAAGTTAACCGTGACCTTGAGGGTCTTACTTGGGAGACTGGGTGATGATGCATTGGCAAATGATGGACAAGAAATAATTTGTAGGGAAGTACAGGGACTGCATAAGGAAACACAATTTATTCTTACAATTTCTCCTTAATTTGGTTTTAAACGTTACCTTGAAAAGAAGCACATTTTAAGTGGTTATCCCTCAAATAAATTTATCTTCAACTCTTGTTTAATTCCCATACAGAGAATCTATTTCTCTCAATATAAACATCTCTCCTTTAGATGCAAATGGATTTTGGATATGACGGTTTCATATCCAAAACAGCGTGGGAATGGACAAAGTTTGCTCCCTCCCTGAAATGTTACCCACTTTGCTGTATTTGTTTTCTTTTATTTTTCTCCAAATAAATCCCTCTATTCAGAAGTAATGTTAATTGCTGTTCCTGCATACATTTCTTCCTGTTATTTATTTCTATCTCATTTTGCACCAGATTGGTGTATGCTTTTCTCAGTGGCTTTATTTTGGGCAAGGAAACATTAAAATATTATGTGTTGAATAAGGCTGTCTGTTTTGGAGCAATCCTATATGCTCATGTATCAAACCATCTTTTAATGCTGTTTTAGCTGCACTTGGTACATTGGAATGCAGTCAAATTTGAAAACTTTGAGGATGCCGCACTGGAAGAAAATGGTTTGGCTGTGATAGGAGTATTTTTAAAGGTAAAAAAGTCTTTCCACTTTACATGATGTGTTGTATTGTGGGGTAAAAAGATACAACATTGTCATATTAAGATCTAAGTATATTGGGATAAAAAAAAAACATAATTGACTTGTGGAATCAATATGTTGTACACCCGAAACTAATGTAAAATTGTATGTCAACTCTGCTTCAATTTCCGGGAAAAAAAAAGAAAATGAACAATGGTTAAAAGAAGAGATTGCTATGAATATATTTCAAATGATATTAAAATGCACAGTCCAGGGGCACCTGGGCGGCTCAGTCAGTTAAGCGTCCAACTCTTGATTGTGGCTCAGGTCATGATCTCATGGTCATGAGATCAAGCCCCCTGTCGGGCTGTGTGCCAAGCAGCTGAGCATGGACCCTGCTTAAGATTCTCTCCCTCTCCCTCTCTCTCTCCCTCTGCCCCTGACACACACACTCTCTCTGAAAACAAAAATGTCCAGTCCAATAGAGTAACAAGAGTAACAAGCCACATGTGGCAAATGAGCTCTTGAAATGTGGCTACTTTGACCATGGTATGGTTTTTCATTTTAATTAATTAAAATTTCAATGTAAGAACCAGTGTTTATTATTTATTTGAGAGAGAGAGAGAGAGAGAGAGAGAGAGAGAGCATGTAAGTAGGGGAGAGGGGCAGAGGGAAAGAGAGAATCTTAAGCAATCTCCATGCTCCGCATGGAACCTGACAAGGGGCTGGATCCCAGGACCCTGAGATCATGACCTCAGTGGAAATCAAGAGTTGGCTGAGGCACCCAGGCGCCCAACGAACTGATATTTAAATGGAGCTGGGGCACCTTTCCCCGCAGGCACACTGACCCTATCAGCAAACAGCCTGCTCATTTGTTTTGTGTCTAATTTGATTCAGTGACGTTTATAGCAACCTAAATTGCCCGTTTAAGTGTAGTTTAAGTAGTGTGATTGGTTTGTTTATATGTGATCACCAGGTGGCTAATTTTAATTCATATTCTGTTCTGATTTCAAAAGTGAAGTGTCAATTGTTTTTAATATTTTCTCATTGCTTCTTCTTTAGCTAGGAAAACATCACAAAGAGCTGCAGAAATTGGTGGATACTTTGCCATCAATCAAGCATAAGGTAATTTCCCCCCCTAAATCACTTGAAATACATTTTATGTTTAATCTGCGAGTGGAGACGCTGACAAGGCGCCCTGGAACACAACTCGCCACTGCCTTGGTTCTGCCGCCATGCCACTGAGCGCTCGGCACTCGGGAACATGGTGCCGTCCCCTCCTCTGCTCCGACACCTGCACACCTGCGTCTTCGAAGTCCCCGTGGGAACACTCAGACCAGCCCTCTTGGCTAGACCTCCCATCCCACAGGCGGGGAGCACGGAAGAGTGGGACGGACGCTTGGCTTGGCTGCTGTGAAGAACAGTTACCCGTTTCCGTCCGGCCCGTCCGCATGGACGCCTCTGTCCAGACCCCAGGATTAACTGTTGCTTCTTGAGGATCCCAAAGGGGCTGTTCCCTGGAAGTCCTCCTCTTCCCTGTTTCCCCCTCTTCTCCCCACCTCAGTCCCTCCCCACTGCCTCTTTCCCTCTCCCTCCCTCTCACTCTCCCTCTTTTTCCTTGCCTGTCTCTTTCTCCCCTTTTGATACAGGAGCCTGGCTCCCTCTACTTTGCGTTGTGTTTTAGAAAGGAGAATTCTGTTCGTTTCTCTTGAGAAAGACAAGCCTCCTTGTTCATGCACCAGCTACCACCTGACGCCTCCTGCCTCCCGAAGAGTTCAGAGGAGACTGGTACCTGCAGCAAACTCACGACAATGGAGGGGGAAAGTGCTTTTGGCTGTGTTCCCATAGAGGATGATCAGACATACATAGTTAATTACAGGAGCAGTGCATGGGTGTGATTCTGTCTGAAGGTGCCCAGAGATACTCTAGACCACTGCTGGTCCCCAGATTCCCCTCGAATCATCACCTCATCATCCGATTTCTGAGTGGTTTTCATCACAAAATGATGACTCGGTGACCCTTTCTCTTTGCCAGGACACCCTTGTGGAATTTGGGTCATTTGATCCTTCCTGCCTGATGCCCACCTGCCCAGATTACTGGACCTACTCAGGGTCCCTGACTACCCCGCCCCTCTCCGAGTCTGTCACCTGGATCATTAAGAAGCAGCCCGTAGAGGTTGATCACGATCAGGTATGTTCTTTCCACCTTTCTGTATGAGGACATGCTAGTCTGCCCCTTTAACACAAGGCTGGGCTCAAACTTTGGCATCGGTTTTGAACATCTTGTAATGCTTCTACATTTTTATTAAAATGCGCTAACATCTTATCTCAAAATGTGGATATAAATTGGGGAATTCTTCAAACCAACTAGAGAGAACAGTTAAAATTTAGGACACATAAGCTTTTTACTTCCATATTTGGCAATGACATATGTCTTATGTATTGTGTATTTTATATATAAATATGACTCTCTATATAAACAAGGCCCTTTTAAAGGGAACAATGAAGACTGGAGATGGGTGTGCTCACAACCCTTTAAAATCCTTAAGGAGGGGCGCCTGGGTGGCTCAGTCGATTGAGTGTCCAACTCTTAATTTTGGCTCAGGTCATGATCTCACTGTTCATGAGTTCAAGCCCCACATCTGGCTCTGCAGTAACAGTGCAGAGCCTGCTTGGGATTCTTTCTCTCTCCCTCTCTCTCTGTCCCTTCCCACTTACATGCACTTTCTCTCAAAATAAATAAATAAACTTAAAAAAAATCCTTAAGGAAATTTTGCTCTGGAACCTCAGGATAAAGACAGAATCCAACAGTGTCTGTCCATAAATTTTAAGTCAGTTGTTTTGAACTTGGAGTTTATTTTCTCTTTAAAAAGTAAGTTTTAAAAGTAAGTTTCTCTTTTAAAAGTTTCTCTTTTAAAAGTAAGTGGTAATTACTTGCCACTAATTACTAAATTCAATGCACAAAATCCTGTTTAATTCATAATTTAAACTATAATGGTACTTGTATATGCTTGCTTTATGGGATTTTTATTAATTACAAAGCATTTTTATAGGAGCAAAGGCTTCCAAAACCTTTTTTATGAAGCCAAGATAACTGATACCAACACCCATTAAATATTTTTAAAAATTAAAAGTAAACTAAAGATTGATATCTCTGAAGAATATGTTTTAAAGGAAGCAAAAGTAATACATGAAAAACAGAAGCTAGCAGTACATTAGAAGAAACATACACATTTTGACCAAGTAGTATATATTCTAGTAAAGCAAGGATGGTTCATTATTAGGAATGATATTAACATACTTCATCATATCAGTGAATCTTAATAGAAAAATCATGTAATTATTTCCATACATTGTTAAAAGGCATTAGCAAAATGTACTATTCAGTTTTTTAAATTTTTAAATAAAATAGAAATGAATGGAGATTTCCCTAACTTGCAAAAAAGACATGGATCTCACTTCAAAAGTAAATAGTATGTTTACTGTGGAAAGAATTGTTACCATATACACTTTGGAAGTTGTTCTGGAAGTAGCCAATACAATTAGACCAGAAAAGAAAAAATAAGAGAAACAATAAAAACTACTTTAAAAATAAGGTAGTTTAGTAATTAGTGGAGTATAACATTAATTTGTAGAAATCAATACATTGATTTCTTAAGCTTTTTTAATTTATTTGAGAGACAACATGCGCACACAAGCTGGGGAGGGACAGAGAGAAGGAGAGACAGAATCCAAATCAGGCTCCATGCCGTCAGCACAGAGCCCAGTGTAGGGCTCGAACTCACAAACTGTGAGATCATGACTTGAGCCGAGACCCAAGAGTTGGATGTTTAACAAACTGTGCCACCCAGGTGTCCCTAGAAATCAATACATTTAAAGCACATATAAATATATATATATCACTATATATAAATCACAATCAGTTAAAGGATGCAATGATATAAAGTTATAATGGAAGAATGAACCCTATTTATAATGGAAACAAAAATATAAAATGCCTTGGAATAAGCTTAAGAAAATTTAACAAGTAAACTTAAAATATCCCTGAAGGATACAAAAGAAGAATTCATAAAATGTATACCATGTTATTGAATCAGAAGACACCATAAAGATATCTTTAGATGTCAATTCTCCCTGACTCGTTATTATCCACTGTTTATTCTCCATAAATTTGATGTGGTCCATTCACTATGCCAATAGGATTTTTAGATAGATGTGCTACTTCTAAAATCATGTGGCAAAATGAACAAGCATAAATAGCCAGGGAAAATTCTGAGAGAGAAAATGAGAGATGATTAGATCTACAAACTTATAAAGTCACAATAATTAAATAGTATGGTACTGGCACACAAATAAAGAGATCACTGGAGGGAAGAAAGCGGTAAGTTCAGAAATATGTCTAAGTACATATGAGAATTTAGTTTGTGATAAAGGTAGCATCTCATCTCAATGGGGAGAAAACATGAGATTCTTCAGTAAATGCTAATGCGAGGACAACTGGGCAGGCATTTGGGGGAGAAAAATTAGATCCACCATGCAGACCTTATGCAAGAATATATTCCACATATATTAAATGTTAAAAACACCGCTAGGACAAGCGTAGGAAAATCTTTTTATACCTCCAAGTGGAGGAAGCTTTTTTCACTATATATCAAAACCAGAAGTCCTAAAGAAACCAACTAGTAAATTAGACCACATAATTTTTTAAAATCTGTCTGATAAAAGCCATGAAAAACAAATGACAAAACATAGAGCTTACCTGTTCATAAGCCTGGGCTTGGTGACCTATATGTTTAGTCTGCGTTTATCCTTCACATTTAAAAATTGACCTAACACTGGGGCACCTGGCTGGCTTCCCTGGTTCAGTGTCCAACTTCAGCTCAGGCCATGATCTCATGGTTCGTGAGTTCGAGCCCCGCATCGGGCTCTGTGCTGACAGCTCAGAGCCTGGAACCTGCTTCCGATTCTGTGTCTCCCTCTCTCTCTGCCCCTCCACCACTCATTCTCTCTCTCCCTCTCTCTCTCTCTCTCAAAAATAAATAAACGTCAAAAATCAACCTAACACTGAAAAATAAGTCAGTAAAATAAATAAATCAGAGAGTCAGTGGCCCATGTGAGGAGTTTTCAAATGAAATCTCTACACAGAAGATTCAGTAAGAAAAAAAACGTTAGCTGTCATCTATAATCCTAGTCACCTATAATCAGTGGTAGTCATTGTTTGGGTAAATCTTTCTGGTTGTATATCTATACACGTACACATAAACCCTTTTAGTCTTTTATCTATATAAATATACATAATTTTCTTCACCAAATGGAATCATTCTGGACATACCATTTTGTTCCTCTTTTCACTCAGTGATATGTGAAACATTTTATCGGTAATAAACATCTTCAATATCACTTTTAATGGCTATGTACTAGTCCATTTTATAGATCTAATGTAACTTACTGATACTTGAGCGATTTCTAATCTTTTGCAATTAGTTGAATAAAAATAAATCTTAAGTACTTGGACACATTCTTAATTTCTGAGGGTATATGCGTAATTTGCAAATACGGTCCCTATGTTTGCCACTCGCCCCTGGTCACAATCCTGCCTCCGCAGCTCTACTTGGCCTGAAGTCTTTGATCGAAACACATCTTCACATGCTTGCCTACTGCGCCCCAGGCTGTCCTCTCCATAGCTGCAGCGTGCCTGACTGACTGAGGAGAAATGTTGTGAAAAGATTTTACAGCGGGCTTGAAGTCCAGTGTTCCATAATAAGGTGGCTCGGAAAGCCAGGGGGGCGAATGATGCTATCGCCATATTAGAGAACAAGCTTTTGACTTGGGGTTGCTCCTCTTTGTACTGAGCTCCACTGTCCAGTCCATGAGCCACTAGCTGCACATGGCCATTTACATTGAAATATAAACACATTAAAATAAAAATTAAACATTCAGTTCCAAGGTACCTGGCTGGCTCAGTCATTAGAGTATGTGACTCTTGATCTTGGGATTGTGAGTTTGAGCCCCACGTTGGGTGTAGAGATTCCTAAAAAATAAATGAATAAACTTTCAATAAATAAATAAGTAAGTAAATAATCCAGTTCCTTAGTTACACTAGCCACATTTCAAGCACTCGGTAGCCATATGTGGCTAGTGGTTATGATAATGAATCACGCAGAGGACATTTCCGTCATTACAGAAAGTTCTATTGGACAGTGCTGGCTGGGGGCATCCCAGTGCCTGTTAAGAAGACATCCATACTACGGGCACCTGGGTGGCTCAGTCGGTTGAGCATACAACTCTTAGTCTCGGCTCAGGTCATGATCTCATGGTTCGTGAGTTCGAGCTCCACATCAGGCTCTGTGCTGATAGCACGGAACCTGCTTGGGATTCTCTCTCTCCCTCTCTCTGCCCCTCCCCTGCTTGCTCTCTGTCTGTCTCTCAAAAATAAATAAATAAACTTAAAAAAAATGTAAAAAGAAGAAGACATCCATATGCATTGCCTTCCCCTGCAATGCCCAGGTACAGTGAGCAATGAAGAAGACATTGTTTACATTAATGATTCAGTTACATTTTGAAAAAAATGAAACATTTTTGGCACTGTTACTGTATACATCAGGCCTTCCCTATAGTATTCTGTAGGCTAGTTATTTTGCCCATTTAAAGATGAGGTTCCTGGAATCAAAGATGAAAACTTGTCCTTGGCAAACGGCTAATGTGTGGGGGACAGGGCCTTTGACCCCCAGTCTTTGGATCCCAAGTACCCTGCTGGCTTCACCACCTCCTGTTACCCTCCTCCTCATACATTTTATTCCCTGTCTAGTAGTGAAGGCATTCCTAACCAGAAATAAGTTGTTCTGTATCTAGTTTTAGACAAATGTTTTGGAATTGTAAAAATAAAAGTAATTTATTCATGAAGTTAAACTGTTACGCCATTGAAATCATTTATGCTTCCTACTTCTATTTCTAGCTTGAGCAGTTTCGGACCCTGCTCTTCACTTCGGAGGGGGAGAAAGAGAAAAGAATGGTGGACAATTTCCGCCCCCTTCAGCCCCTAATGAATCGCACTGTCCGCTCTTCCTTCCGTCACGATTATGTACTGAATATACAAGCGAAACCCCAGCCTTCAACTAGCCAAGCAACTCCCTAAGACATTCATATCTAGGCAGTACTTTGCTTTAATGAATACATACTAGCTTTTTAGAGATTGCTGATTGGACTGTTCTAAACGCCTACATTTAATAATAATTGTAGATGCGCATTTCTTGGTGTGGCAGTGCTCCTTTCAGTCTCTGAAGAAAGCTCTTTGGTAAAGAAGTTCTTAACTTTTACTGATAATGATGTTTAACACTGACGTGGCAGTAAGAGACACAAGTTTGTCCTTCAGCAACCTGTTGGTAATCGTAATGTCTTTTTATGTCCTATATTTCTGAGTTGTCTTATGTTTATTAGTTGTCTTTTTATGTTTATTAGTAACTCTATAGAGTTGTAAGTAGTGATGGTAATCAAAATATTTAACACTGGTAAGGTGCAGACACTGACTATCCAGAATGCAGGCCTTTCAGAAATGGTCCCAGCGCCCAAACTGGTACTTCCTGGCTAGCTGAACATTGGCCATGGTTTTAGGGATATTTTATTTCAAAATCTGAATGTATATTCTTTTCTAAAGCCTTCTCAACAAGTATATTTGCCTGATCTTTAGTTGTTATCCCTAGTACATGATATGCTTACTATCAATTTATGACATAGAAGAAAATATTTTGTAGTTCTAAGAAAATAAGAATTTACTTATAACAGGGAATCCTTTTGCACTTCTGAAGATCAAATATTTTACCTCAAGACCTGATCATATAGAAAGCATATACAGAGCATTTTAAAGAAAATGCTTGAAGTTCCTAGAATTTAAAATTCTTTCATGCTTTATTTACAGACATCGTTTTCAAAAGACTAGTAATATAATAGTCTATAGTGTTATTTTGCATTGTTTGTACACTGTTTCATAGAATATAATATTTTCCACAATGACAGAACTATCATGGCTTTCCTTGAGAACTGCCTGACCTTTATTTCATGAGTTGAGGTTCTGTGCAAGGCAGGTGCTCAACATAAATCTCCCAGTTAATATAATGGTTTAAATGACTTCTGCTACAGTAATAAGGAGAGAAAATTAACAGGCTAAAATCTAGAGAATTCTACATATTTGGGGGAATCCATGCCATTGTTGCCTTTGCTTGTAAATACCTTGGAATGTTTCTAGTTGCCTATAAGCCTGTGTTCAAACTCAATATTGAATTTACTAGTGGTCTTTCTTTCATTAGTATGCTAGTCATCTGATCTGCAAGGTAGGGTTGGATGAGTAGACTTGACACTACTAAACTATACAGTGAAAAAGTTTAAGATGGTAAATTTTATGTGTATCTTACCACAGTTAAAAATAAATAATACATTCAGTAGAAGAAAAAGAGGGTTGGAGTTGTATATGTGTTTCGGGGGGGGGGGGGGCGGATATCTGCTCTTAAAAAAGGGAGGGGGCGCTCCTGGGTGGCCCAGTCCGTTAAGCATCAGACTCTTGATTTCAGCTCAGGTCATCATGACCTCACGGTTCGTGAGATGGAGCCCTGTGCCACGCTTAAGATCGTCTCTCTCCCTCTCTCTCTAAAAAATAAATAAACAGATAAATAAATAATTTTTTTGTTTTGTTTTTAAAGGGAGGGGGTGAAGGCATTTGCTTCTAGAGTACATGCCTTCTCTGGGAAGAAAATGAATAAAATTCTTAAAAAGATAAATGCGAGGGGAAAAGTTTATGTTAACTATCTAATTGATCTGTTCAAACCATAGTTATCTTTAAAAGGGTAAACACACACACGATATGCATTTTCTAGAGCACAGGGCTTCACTCCTAGGCCTCTCACAAAGTCTTTGTGCAAAATTCTATTGCAGTGAGTCTTCCAAATTGGAGTGAGAACCAGTGCGCCAATACCCGACTTGCCCTTACTTCTTAGAGCTACAGAGGATGTCTTTATTGGGTGTGTCCCAGCTTGCCACTCCTGATTCACCTGCACCTGGTGTTTTGGTGTGATTATTAACAGCACCCTCTCACTCTCAACCATGTGCTGGTTTGCATGATCAATTCTTGCTCACCTTCTCTGCAGAGGTTACATGGAAACCGCCCTGGGGAGGTGTGTTTCTTTTCCTCGGTGCCTTAGTCATCTGAGCTCCAAAGGGGCTTGCAGATTCCGGGGCTACTGATACACCCTAACAAGAAACTTTGTGTCTTTTGTGCCTCCAAAAGTGTTTTACTTGTACCTTCCTAAACAGCAAGGGGCAAAATGTCCTTGAGAAAGAATTTTGTATTAACATTGCTGCTTATCTTCATTAAATACTATAATAAAACCCTTTCTTTACAATATTAATATTGAATGCCTTTTTCTTCCTATTAGTTTTTTTTTTTTTTCAATATGTAAGATGTCTGTAAAACTAGCGAGACATCCTTTACCATGTAGTGACTTTACCATGAAAGTGACTGGAAAACTTGTAACGGATTTATTAGAAAAGCAGGAGACAAAAACCACCCACTCTTCAGCTCACCTCTTTCTGTCAAATTAGTGCACAATCTGCTGATATCACCAGTAGGGAAAACTGCCAACCCTTTTCTCCTCTGTGAGCCTACATGGATTAGGGTAAAATTGCCTATTCTGAAGCAGGCATTCACCTCAAAAAAGTTTAGGAAGATACCTTTCCCTTGCTCACTGGGGGACACATTTCTTTTGGTGTGTTAGCAAAATTACAGTATTGTAATCATTTTAGGTATTTTTCTGTGTCACTAGAAGAACCAACACTATTTACTTGATACATGTTCTCCTTAACATTTTACTGTCTTCTTGATTCAACTTTATTGGTTAAATTCTTTCCCATAAAATTTTACTTGGATATCATTGTTTTTTAAGTGAATAGGCTCTAATTTTACCATATAATGAGTGCATCTAAACAATACTGGCTTCTTTACATATAAATAGTAATGCATCCTTGTTAGGAACTGAATGTTTATGTCCCTCCTGCACCAAATTCATAGGTTGACACCTAACCCCCAACGTGATGGTGTTAGGAGGTGGGGCCTTAGGGAAGTGAGTAGGTCATACGCGTGGTGCCTCATGATGGCATTAGCGCCCTTATAAAAGAGACCCCAGAGCGGTCCCTCACCCCTTCTGCCATGTGAGGATGGATACAGCAAGAAGATGGCCACCAATGAGCCAGTAAAGGAAGTTCTCACCAGACACTGAATCTGCTGGCACCTTGATCTTGGCCTTCCAGCCTCTAGAACTGTGAGGAATAAACAACCCAAAGAGACTAAGACCCTTTCCATCCCTTCGTACATTTTGATTCTTGCTTTTTGAGTTCAACCACTCTTCAGAAATAGTACTTTGCTTTGGGTCCTGGGTGCCGATATGGACTCACCACCACATTTTCTCAAACCACCAGCAGTTTTTTGCTTAGAACCTACCACCAGAGGAAAGAATCGAGTAATAAGCGCTAGCACTGCATAGTTTGTTCCTCTTTCAATCAGTTGTACAAATATAGATTTGCATGCACTTTTCATGTTAATATACATCAAGTATTTTATTTTGCTATCTTAGGTAGCATATATATACTCTGGAAATATATAAAGCCCTTGGTATACCAATGACGGTTAGAGAGGAGTTGAGATCCCATTCTATGTCCCTGCATAAATCTGGTGACTCATACTGAAATTAATAGTAGGTGAGAAATTAAATGTTCTTTCCTGAGAATTTCTGCATTGACCGTTCCATGAATCCTCGTACCACAGTCCTACAAGGGCAAGAAAAAACCAAATTAATTGAAAGAGTACCAGCCTGGCTTTCAGAGAGTAGATTCTTGCTTTTTCTTGCTCTCTCTTTATGCTTGCAATAAATGTGAGATACATTTATGGATCATTCTTTGGTCATGTTATAATAACTAAGATTCATATGTACTAATAACAGTATCTATGACATCATCTACATAAGTTAAAAAACTTTAACTTTTTGAAGATAATCATCTATTTTCTACTGACGATGTAAAATTAAAATTTAGGCATTTTCCCATAGAGGGGGGATAAACTGAAATGTACATACCTGAGAATAAGTAGATGTTGCATATCAGGAACCAAGAAAAATACGTGTTATGTTGCAGAATAAAGATAACTTTGTTCTATTTATCAGGATATTATAGTAGAATGTACCTTTGAACTAAATTTTTACATACTTTATCTTATGATTTATTGAATTCAAATGAGCATAACTACAGTTTGAAATGAAATTGGCTTTTAGAATAACTTCTGTAATGAAGTTAATTTGAGCAATTCAAGCTTGTTCATGAAAATGAATTCAGTGGTTAATTGTTGAGGATAAATGTCTAACTCCTATAAAAGGAGATTTACATTCATTTGTAAATCATAATAAAATAAAATGTAGGGGCACCTGCCTGGCTCAGTCGGTTAAGCATCTGACTTCGGCTCAGGTCATGATCTTGCAATTCACGAGTTCAAACCCCACGTCGGGCTCTGGGCTGACAACTCAGAGCCTGGTCTGCTTCTGATTCTGTGTCTCCTTCTCTCTGCCCCTCCCTCTTTCTCTCTCTCTCTCTCTCAAAAATAAACACTGTAAAATAAAAATCTAAATCTGTATCCTTTTTAAAGTAGGAGCATGTTCACAGAAGACATTCTCACTTTATTGCTCTCACATGAAAGTCTGGTCTAACTCATAAGAAATGTTACAGCAATCCAAACAACAATCCAAACAGTGACACTTTCAGAATGGCATCATAAGTCCTGGTCCCAGAAACCAGCAAAATTGGTCATTTGTACAGCAACGTTTTTTGCCCGTCAGGGCATTCTCCAGTTAGGGGCTATAACCACCAAGTCTCCACCTTCAAGTTTAAGATTTAGTTCAAGAAGCAGCTTTGTGATAGCCGCAAAGAATATAGCGTGAGAGGTGTTATAAAAGGTGAAATACTTGAGCTAGGAGCATACACAGGACAAGTATCAACCCACTCTTGAGGGAATAGGGGAGTATTCACAGTGATGATGATGATATAACAGATAATGTGTCAGAGACACTATTGTCAGGCACTATGCCAACATATAGCACGCATTTGGGAACTATTATCACTACCTTGATTTTTACAGATGAGAAAACCAGGGACTAGACATTAAGGAGTTTACTCAAGATCAGAGAGCCAAGGCTTGAGTTTCCCAGTCTGTCCAACTCCAAAGCCTGTAACCATAATTACTGACGCACTGAGCTGGACAAGGTCAGCTTGGAGGTGTGTTGTTCCAAGTGTGTAAGAGGGAGCAGGGCAAGGCTCTATGCACTTTGGGCTTTGGGTGGCTGCTGAATGATTCCAAGGAGGGACTAGGAGAAGCAGGGGCAGTTTAGTAATTGGGTAGCTCAGTGATTGTCATTTGGAAGAGAGAGGAACAAAGGTAGGCCAAGGAAGTTATCCAATCACTAAAAAGATGGGGGTTGTTAATCATTTTGCCGCTGCAGTATGTCCTCAAGAGAAGCATTTTCTTCTTGGTCTTGTCTCTGGCCTTGTCTGTATACATCACAGTCTGATTATTAACAGGGCTGATTTTACTTGCTCAATCCTACCCTCATTGCCCCAGTTTAATTCCTCATCTAGACTGTGATATTCCAGCGTTATCCTTTGTATTGCAAACCAGAGTAATTTACCTAAAACACAAATGACGACAAAACTCAAACCAAAAAGCTTTCAGTACTTCCCTGTTGCGTAGAGGACTTAATTAAAGCTTCTCTGCATGGTTTACTAGGCCCTTCTTCATAACCCAGCTCCACCCCACCTCTACTGCTGTGTTCTTTGATATTTTGGAACTTGCCTTTAAATTCGATGGCCAAAATTCTTGCGGGTCTGGCAGATTCCACATTGTTTCATCCGTCAGTGGCTTTGCTTATACTGATTTAGCTTTCCCACCTGGGGATCCCACCCTTTTCCCCCTGGGTAAAGGCCACCTTCCTTTAAAACTCAGGCATCATAAAGTCCTCCCTGAATCCCAGGTGGACTGTGTTAAGTAAATTCAGTTGCCAGTACCATATTATCTTTGTATTTGGTCCTTCTTCGTCTCTAGAGTGCACATTCCTTGGGAGCAAAGATGACGCCTTGGCGGCCCAGGTGTTGCTTTTCCCTACAGAGGTGGCAGGTGTGAATGGCAGAGGGCGGAATCTGGCGCTTCGTCTGAGGGACTGATAGGTGGGACCGCAGAAGAAGGCGGTGTCTGAAGGTCGGACTGGGAAGCTAGGCGATACACTGTGCCTGGAACGAGGTTTCGTGTGACGATGAGGACAAGAGAGACAAGTGTAACTTTAACGTCCTAGCCACAAGACACACCAGTGTGGAGTGGGTAGAGGTAGTGATATTCCCGGGGAAACGCTAGGAGGGA